TGGGAATGCAGCATCTTAACAATCACGCCTTTTGCTGGTCTCTAAGTAGATTATTTTATATAAAGCACTTTGAAAAGAACTTGGCAAAGAAAAAGCACCGAATTAAAAAAAAAAAAAGAAAAGAAAAAGCACCAAATTTGATATTTTTATTGATTAGTCAAGACTGTTGCTTCACCATTATAAATTTATTTTGGTATAGGTTAATTGGTTACTGGATGGTAGTACTTAATTGTATCAGCAATGGTTTGGAACACTAATTTTCCAGTAACAAGTCTTTAAAAACCTGCACATCATGTATTTCAAACACAAATGATCTTTTCTACCCATCCTTCTAAAGCAACACCATCCCCCTCTAAAACACAATCTTATACAATGGTATTTCACTGTTTTTGCTGTTTTCTGCTAGAAAGTTATAAAGGATGCAGAAAGTGGGTCACCGAAGGAAGTAATTTAAAAATATAGATTTCAGAGACCAGCAGTTAGCGTAATGGCTATGTCCCTGGGCTCCCATGTAGTCGACTGCGGTTCGCATCCCGGACCCAGCGGCTTTAACTCACGCCGGGCGTGTGTGCGTGCGTGCCCAAGATCCTGAGAGGAGGATGGAGGAGAAGGGATTGCGGTGTGGCCATCCCGCCTAGGGGGTGATTTCTCACTTTCTGTCTCTCTATCTCTCTCTGTCTTTCTGGCAAGCACACACACCCTATAGCAAAAACTTCTCCAAAAAAAAAAAAATATGAATTTCAATCGGGTCGGTAGGTGACAAAATGGTTAAGGTGATGGACTTCCACATGGATGACTCTGTTTTGAGCCCTGGACCTGGTGGCTTGAAACTCACACCGGGCATGAGTGCGTGCATGCCCAAAATTGTGAGAGGAGAATGGAGGAGAGATTGTTGCAGATGATCATCACCCCTGGGGGGCTGATTTCTCACTTTTCCTCTTTCCATCTCCAGCAAACGCATGTACCTATGGCAAAAACAAACAAACAAACAAAAGTGGATTTCAAACTAATTAATATTGCTAGTAGTTCTGTTGTCAGGTTTGGTTTAGGAGAAAAAAAATCTTTTCTTTTTCTTTCTAATTTACTAGAAGGTGTCTGTGCCTACCACAGAGGCAGAGCGGGGTGGAAGGAAGGATAAGAAGAAATCCCCCTTCAGGATGATGACCGCACCACAGTAATTCTCCTCCTGGGATCTGGGGCATGTACACACACTTCCAGCGTGTTTTCCAAGCCACCGTGTCTGGCACTTGAACCGTGCAGTGGGATGTGGGATCCAGCGCCTTAAACACCATGTCACCAACCAGCAACCCCCCAAATCGTTCTTATTTACTCAAAATTTTAGATTGCATGTGTTTCAGTGACTTGTGGCATTCTCGCCCTGAGTGCTTAGATTTACAGTGTTAGGCAGACATTCACAGTTTCTCGTGCCTTCCTCCATTTATGTTTATATAACAAATGCTTCTTGAGCGTCTCCCGCCTGAAAGGAATTCTGCGAAGTGATGAAAGGGTACAATCAGGAGTAAGACACAGTCCCTAACTTTTCTCTACCACATCAGCGAAAGTAGTGAAAGTAATATAGAAGCCGCTTCCTCTTTATTTTTTTTAAATCTGCCTCAGGGAGGGACCAGCAGGTGGTATAACAGTTACATTGTTGGACTCCCACATAGTCAGCCATAGTTCAAGTCCCAGACCAGGGTGGTTAAAACTCAAGCCGGGCATGTGTGCATGCGTGAGTGCCCAAAATCCCAAAAGGAGAATGGAGGATAAAGAATTGCGGTGTGGCCATCCCCCCTGGGGAGTGATTTCTCGCTTTCTGTCTTTCTGTCTCTCCAGTGAATGTACACACCCTATAGCAAATATCTCTCCTTAAAAAAAAAAAAAATCTGCTGGGCCCAGCAGTTAGCATAATGGCTATGTCACTGGATTCCCATGTAGTCGACTGAGGTTCGCATCCCGGACCTGGTGGCTTAGAACTCACGTCGGGCGCGTGTGCATGCGTGCCCAAAATCCCGAGAGGAGAATGGAGGAGAAGGAATTGCAGCATGGCCATCCCCTCTGGGGGGTGATTTCTCGCTTTCTGTCTCTCTGTCTCTTTCTGTCTGTCTGGCAAGCACATGCACCCTATAGCAAAAACCTCTTCAAAAAAAAAAAAAAATCTGCTATAGAGCATATGTGCTTGCTGGGGGAAGAGAGAGAACAGGAGAGAGAAAGTGAGAAAGCACCTCCTCAGGGGGATGACCAGACTACAATCCCCTCTCTACCAGCCTCCGCTCAGGATTTTGGGTGCGTATGCACACATACACACATACATACACACACAAACACACACACACACATACATGCCCGTGGCCACTGTTTCTTTCTCTTTAACAACTACTTATTTAATTTTATTTATTATTACTATTATTACTTAATATGCTATAGGGCACATCCTCTTACCAGAGAGAGACAGAGACAGAGAGAGGGAAAGTGAGAAAGCGAGCTGCCAGGTCCAGGACTCAAATCGGTCAGCCATGTTAGATCCAGCCATCTTAACCACCATGCCAATGACTGGACCCCTCTTTAAATAGGGAGTCCATTTGACACTTGTTCCACAGTGATGATGCCTAGGCCCCTGCTCCCCTTTCCGACCCTAACTAGGGGGCAAACTAGCCACTGTGCCCTCTTGCCTTCTCCCGAGGCTGGAGGTAGGGAGCAGCCCCACCCGTTTGGACACCAGAACACAGGCAAGTTTGAGAGGCTGGGGAAAAGAGGAGCTCCACCCTCACTAGCTCTGCACCTAAATGCCTGTTCATCCCACCTACAGCCCTTCCTACCCAAGGGATGCTGTTATAGAAGAAAACAAGTCCCATGAGAAGTCAGAGTAAGCCATTGCTACTCTCTGTACCAAAGTATAGTAACCTACTATACTCATCAAAGTTGAAAGCAGAACTGGACATCCAGACAAGGTGGGTGTCTTAAATAAAACAACTCTGTTCAAATGTCAAGATGTTGGTTTTTACTATCAAGTAATAGGAATGGGAGACATGCTTGAGCTCTGCTCCATCTCAGGGTCTCATCTCTGATGATAGATGGAGTGGGACTCAGGGCAGAGGTGAGGTGAGACTCAGGGAGGGGTGAGGCTTAGGGTCTGGGTGAGGTTCATTCCTTCCATTACTTGGTAATAAAAATGCTGAGCATTTATTGGTTACTTTTTTTAGGGTTGCATCAAAATGCCCTCATGGAAAATATCTGAAGAGAAATGTCAAGTGTCTAGTTTAAAAGCAGAGGACAATGCTTAGCACACAGTATTTTTGGCAATATGACCCACCATTCTCCAGGTCTCTCAGGCTTAAAACCTTGGCAGTAGGAAATGAACTTTCACCAAAGTCTTTGTGACATTTGTCTCTGCAATTCCACCTTACAGATGAAAAAGAACTCTTCTCCCAAGCTTCAAATTCATATATTCTTTTTTTTTAGAATTACTTTATTTAACTTTATTTTTTAATTTGACTAGAGAGGGACAGAGTGAGAGACTGAGAGAGTGAGAGAGAGAGAAAGTGAGAAAGCAAGCGGCCAGGTCCAGGACTCAAACCACGGTCGGCCATATAGAAGACCAGTGCCCTTAACCACCACACCACCTGCCCACCCAATATTCATATATTCTTTCAATGACTTATTCATTTATCCATCATATCACCTCTTCTGACAAGGAGATAAGCAACAGAAATATAAAAATGAATAACACAGTCCTGCCCCTAAGGGTTGGGTTTAATAAGCATTTATTGTCTACCATATAGTAATTACTGCAAAGTGCTGGCTTATAGATACACATCCGGATTTCAGAGAAAGCTTTTGGGAGATGATGCCAGAGTGGCCTTAAAGAACCAGCAGGAGTTTGTCCGATGTAGAGGAGGGAAGGGCAGGGCATATTCAGGAATGAGTGAAATGCCCATAGTATGTGGGGGAAGCAGGAGCCAGAAAGATAGGAAGGAGTCAGATCATAGCAGATACCTAAGGAGTTTGGATTTTACTATGGAGAGAATGGGGAGCCACTGGAGGACTTTAAGAAGAGGACTAACATGAACAGATGTTTTGTGGTCGTTAGGCTCTCTCAAGGGTGGACTGGAGACTTGGGCTGGAAGGAAGCTAGAGCTGAATGCAGACAAACTAGTTAGAAAGCTACTGCTGTAATCTTAGTGAGACATGAAAGAACAGAAACCTTGTCGGAGGCTGGAGGGAGAGCAGAGGACCTATTTGAAATTTTTCTATAAATAGAAATGATAGGACTATTGATTGGACATGTGGGGGTGGAAAGCCAGAGTCCAAGATTCTTCTCAGCTTCTTCCTTCTAGATGAGACAATTATTGGACAGTGGTACTATTGAGCATGGCAGGGCACACAGTAAAAGCAGCGTATTGATTTTTTTTTCTTTAAGGAAGGCTGGGGAAGATGAGTTCAATTGTAAATATTGAATTTGAAACCTAAAGGGAATCTAAGTGAAGAGGTGCGTGAGTCAACAGCTAACTAGATCCTGTGCTTCTTAGTCTCAAAAAAAAAAAAAAAAAAAAGAACAAGACTATTCCACAAGCATGTGTACCTGACAACCTCATTTAGAAAGGAACAGACAGCAATTTGAAAAAATGACATTTTGCATGTTTAAAAGAAACAATGAAAATGCGGGAGTTAATAACAAAATACTATGCTACTCCTTCCAAAGTTGACACTGCAGAAAAATATGTTTCTCTAGTCAAGTAAATGCAGAGTTTGATGGGTTTCCTCCTCACAACACTTGAAAATAGCAGTGTACCTGGGGTTCGGATCCAGAAACTCCTTTTAGCAGGTTAAAGAGCTGTGAAAGCGCCCTCCAGTGGCAATGGAATGAGGGGTCTCTAGCACCCTTTTTACCACCAAACAAAGCCCTGTGAAGAAATGCAATTTCAAGGATCCACAAGGCCACCACGCTCATACTGTAACACCGCAAAATTAAACGAACCCTCCCAGGGGCTGGGACCCCTTACCTGTCACGTCGGCCGAAGGACAATTTCACTTTCGACTCAACAAAATAACAACTCAGATTTGACAGCTTGCAGTAAGTCCCTCTCCGCGACAATTACACACCTCGCAAGCCAAACGCGCAGTCTAGCCAGAACCTCTCCAGCTGCAGGGCCCGGCTTCGACCACGTGGGTGTCTGTGGCCAGCAGCAGCGAACCCAGAAGGGCGGGAGAAAGGGGCGTGTCCCTGCGACGGGAGGCGTGGCCTAAGCAGTGGGCGTGGCCTGGGCGGCTCCGGGCTTGGGGTCCCTCTCGCCTTCTCTCCCCTTTCGCCTTCGCCCTTCGAGCCGCCACGTAATGCCACGTCCCCGCGCATGCGCATCTCGGGCGGCGG